TGTGGTGTTCCCCAGTGTTCCATTCTCTGCCCCCTACTATTTATATTATTTATAAATGATCAGCCTAATGTCTGCAAATCCTCAAATGTACATATGTACGCAGATGACATGGTAATATATGCGAGCAAATCCGATCTACCACAACTTGAGGCTGTGCTCCAACACCAGTTTACAGAGGTAGAAAGGTGGATCGCAAAAAACAAACTCTTCCTGAACACTGACAAAACTGTCACAATGATCTTTGGAACAGTACTTAAATTACACAAATTACACAATTCCCACTTATCCATCAAAACAAATGGCACACTGACCGCAGTCCACTCTTTCAAATACTTGGGTATGATGTTAGACCCCAATCTATCTTTTGGCCTGCACATAGAAAAGCTTGCATCTAAACTTTATCCAAAACTAGGTGCCCTGTACAGAAACAAATCCTGCCTAAGCCCTACAGTAAAGGAAAAGATTGTACAGCAAATGCTGATGTCAATCATTGATTATGGGGATGTAGTATATGCATCTGCATCGCAATCCCACATTAATAAACGCAACACATTGTATAACTTGTTCTGCCAATTTGTGCTACAATGTTATTACAGGACCCACCATTGTGACATGCTAAAAGAACTAAACTGGCTGTCGCTGGAATCCAGATGCACCCTTCATCTTTCCAGCCTTGTGTTTAAGAGCTTTTCTGGGAAACTCCCACCCTACCTGAACACAATGCTTTCCCCAGCTGTTCCCACTTCCTATAAGCTCCGATCCAGTACCAACACTTTACTTAGTCTACCTCAATACAAAAAGAAAACGGCCCGATCCTCCTCCTGCTACAGAGCACCGCAATTGTGGAACGACCTCCCGCACAATTTAAAATCATCCCTAAGACTAAAGTCATTTAAGAGATCCCTCTCTACATACCTCAAAACAGAATGCACCTGTCATGGTTGATTATATATTTCCTACCTGTTCTATGTTAAATTTTGTATTTATTGTGTATTAATATTGTTTTTGTATTTTATTGTACCCTAATGTAACAATGCAATGATTTGTGGACCCAGGACATACTTGAAAACGAGAGAAATCTCAATGTATCTTTCCTGGTAAAATATTTTATAAATAAATAAATACTAGAGAAAGGAAAAGTGGTGTTGTTTGCACAGAGTGTTTGAAAATAAAGCCCAGATGGATGAATGGAAGATGTCAGCAATCAAGATCAGAAACACACTAGACACTGAAATCACTATCATTGTGACAGAAATGGTGAAGGGTAACCAAGAAGAAAGTAAAAGCTGCTGGAATGAGTACATGGCAGGTACAGTACACTATTGCTAGATGAGGGCCTTTAAGAAAGAGTCTATAGTGGTGGTTCACCTATCATTATCAAATACACAATGGAGGAAATGTTGTGCCAGAATAAGGACTTTCGAAGGACGAAAGGTAACACACCCAGGTTAAACAATACTCTAAGTCTCAATTTCAGTAATTTCCAAAGAATTGCACAAATGGCAGGGTTTTTAAAGAACAGCCTTGAATTATTTTTAAATGAATTTAAACAAAGAAAGAAAATATCCTGAAGAATTAGTTCTGGAAGCTTATAAACTGGTTGAAAAATATAGTGAGAATGATTTAATAATACATAGGAAGGAGTTTAAGGACATTCAAAAAAGATCACAGTAGTGTTTGATTTTAATGCTAATTTTGGAGAAATAGAGATAATTATTAATAAACATTGGGGACTATTGCAGGACTATTGCAGAAAGATTGAGCATTGACAAACATATTATCAGATACCTTTTATTACGGTTAAAATTATTTTGACCCAAGATAACAAGTAAGTAACACCCCCAAACAATTTTAATGATAGGAAAGATTTTACTCATGTAATAAATACCAAGAATGTAGATTTATTAAAAATAAAATGTTGATAGACAATGAAAAATGTACAATCTAAATATAGAGATAATGATTTTTATATTAAAGATTTTATTATGTGTTTTACAAGGAATGCAATTTATCTCTTAATTTGTCTGTGTGGTCTTCAGTATGCTGGCCGCACTATTCGTCCCTTGCACAAAAGAACACATTAATAATATTATTAGGAATATGACCAACACAGTGTATAAGCAAATTTTAAAAAGTACCATAATAAAGACCATAGGGGATTTGTTTATTTACAGCTTGTTAAAGAATCCGGGAGAGGATTAATATAGGGAAAGAAAAAACTAAATGGGTCCAATTATTCTGCACTTTAGAACAATATGGTCTTAATAAAGAGATTCAAAAATCGAACCAGAGGAACAAAATAGGGTGTAAAAATGAGCCAACTGGTCTGCTGAAAAATATATATACATATTAAAATATTCATGATAGGTGCAATTTCCCACCATTTGGTTCACAGATCAAAAGAAAACGTAATCAATAGAGGGGAAAAAGAGAAGGAACAGTAAGACAAATCTATATTTTTTTTATTTAATATATAAATATGTCAATATAGATTTTTTTACTACTCCTCCTTTTTTCACTCTATTGCTTATTTAATAAAAAAAAACATTGAGTATCCTCTAGCTATTCATCATCTTTTTTCTCATTAATTATCTCTTTTTTTTAGTGCCCTGCACAGAATTATGACTCAAACCAAACATGTTGGGCATTGTATGGTTCAGTTGGTCCGTGATTCTGGTAAATTTTGGCTCAGAGTTTGGGAATTGAACCATTCATCAGATTGTGCCAAATTCGGCAGAATTGTAGTGCGGTCTGAAATGAATCTCCACGTCTAGTAATTAAAATGGTATTGTGACAGAACCCCCCCCTTGTATTATGTGTTTCATGTATTGTGCCTGTATATGCAGCTGTGGTTCCCATCCTTTTGTGAAGGTAGTGTCTGCCTGGACCTCTCCCCCCTTTACCACTCCCTTTTCCTGTCAAAGCAAGATGTTGCCACATAGACACTGCCAGCCCAGGTTAACCTAGATGTTTTATCCTTCCTCCCTCCCCCTTCAGCTTCTTGGGATTGAAACCCCTGTTGTTTTTGTGTTGAGACCCAATGTAGGGATCTGTGTCTGTAAAAACCATGTGTACAAAATAAACTAAGTCAGTGAGTGTTGTAACCTCCAGTACTGTGCTTCGTCCAGTTACTGGGGGTAAAATGGATGTCTGCGTGTTGTAAGAGTTCCTGAATGGCTAAAGGAAGGGAAAAAGGGGAGGTAACCAGTTGGGTTACCCGTGGTCCGCTACATTTACATTCACAAAAGGAGGGGGCCCACAGCTGCATACACAGGCACAATACATGAAACACATAATAAATAAAAGGGGAAAAGCAGGGTTCCGTCACAGGTATCCTATATTATAGTGCACAAATTAGGCTTGTCACATACGGCTGTATTACAATGTGTGGGTTTAATTTTATATATTGAACTATTTTAACATGGGTATTTATTAGTTTATATTCGTTCTTTACTTTCTGCACAATTCAATAGGTTGATTATATGATCTGTGAAATGGGTGCTCGTTTAGTTCTGTATATTATTATTATTATTATTATTATTGGTTATCATTTATAAAGAGACAGCTTATTCCGCAGCACTTTACAATAAGAGGGGAATTTACCAAATGAGATGATAACAAAATGTATCAGGAACAATAGGTAGTTGAGGACCCTGCTCAAAAGAGCTTACAATCTAGAGGAGGTGGGGTATTAAAACACAATAGGAAGGGTATTGAGGGAGACAGCAAATAAACATGGTGGGAAACTAGCAGAACTGGAGGTGAGAGTGGAGTGGAGCCATTTAGGAGAGAGCAAGAGGAAAGTTTGAAAGATAGAAGTTTCTCTTGGAGGCGATAAATAATCCTGAAAAGATGGGTTTTGAGGGACTTCTTAAAGGATTGAAGACTAGGGAAGTCTGACAGGTGTAGGCAGGCTGTTCCAAAGGAAAGGAGCAGCTCGTTAGAAGTCTTGCAGACGTGAATTTGCAGTAAGGGTGCAAGCAGCAGACAGGAGAAGGTCACCAAAATATCAGAGACCGAGAGGGGGCATACCTATGAATCAGTAAAGAAATGTAAGAGGGGCTAGAGTTGGTTAGGGCTTTATAGGTAAGAGTTAGTATTTTAAATTGACAAATATAGGGTACAGAAAGCCAGTGCAAGGATTGACAGGTGTGAGGTGTGAGAGGAGCGACAGGAGAGAAAGATCAGCCTGGCAGTAGCCTTCATCACAGATTGTTGGAGGGGCAGTACAGATTCGGGGGAGACCAATTAAGAGGGAATTGCAGTAATCCATGTGAGAGATTACTATAGCATGAACAAGCTCCTTGGCAGCATCTTGCGTAAGAATGGTGTGGATGCGGGCAATGTTTTTAAGCTGGAATCAACAGGTTTTAGCACCAGACTGCACATGAGGCGAAAAGGTGGGGCCAGGATCAAAAATGACACCAAGCCAGCGAGCTTGAAAGGATGGGGTGAGGCAGGTACCATCAACCTGCAGGGAGAGTGAAGGAGGAGGATCAGTGTTATGAGGAGGAAAAATACGAAACTCAGTCTTAGAGAGATTGAGTTTCAGATAGCGGGAGGACACCAAATCAGAGTAAAAGAAAGGCAATTGGTGATGCATTGTAGGACATCCTATGGACGCTTGCGTGCTCTCACTGCGAAAATCTCATTGACAGCCGCTAGAGGCTTTGGGGGAAGGCTTAACCCATTCTCTGAAACTGCTATGTTTATAAAAGAATGGGTTAAGCCTAGCTGGACCTGGCACCCAGACCACTTCATTAAGCTGAAGTGGATCTGGGTGCCTAGAGTGGTCCTTTAAAGTGAGGAATCAAGAGTTTTCCGCACTTTACCTGGGTAATGTGCACATTAACTGCTTCTGTCTAGTTAAAGTGCAAAATGTTTGTTTCTTTCCCCTCGGGTAAAGAGGAAATTATTTATTACAAAACGTCCTTGCAGAAACCTGTTTCACCCTTTTACAGTGCAAACGTTTGTTTCTTTCCCTCGGTAAAGAGGAAATTATTTATTACAAAATGTCCTCGCTGCAGAACCTGTTTTACCCTTTCAGTGTAGTCTCTGCAGAGTCGTTCACTACTCGTCTGAATGCAGAAAGATTCTGTGTGAACCTGTCTCGATTCTTTTGTGAGCAAGTTCCTTTTCAATGCCCTCCATTCGAATTCTCAAAGCGTAGACACATGGCTTGTTGCTTCTCAGAGGGGGCTGGCTACTAACAACAATGCTGCTCCGTAAGTCCATGAAATACTTCTCATTGAGGAGAATGAGACCAAGGAGAGGTCTGCTCATGGACCACTGATTCCAACAGTCCTTCAAATATGATGATGATGATATTGAGAACAGTGGAGAGCATCTGCTGGATCATTTCAGGGTGGTTACTGCATAATGTGCAGGAAGGCGCTCGCTCTCTTGTGGTGGTGGGGGGCTCCTCGTTTCTTACCAGTTCGGGATAACTGTTTTGAAAAGGAGGTATGTGACTACGTGGTTTAGACAGGTTTAGAAAAGCAAGCAAAGAAAATGTTAGCAGTTTCTAATGCAAAGCAGCCAAATATCAATGAAGGTGTCACTGTGAGAATTAAAGTACCCGAAGTGGACAGAGCAAAAACTGATGCCCGCTCGATTTTTAGCTGTGGGTCTTAGTAAAACAGAGGATGGCTTTTATAAACTTGGTACTAAAACGGGTATTTTGAAAAACAATTGTATGCCAAATCGGAATTCAGTGTTTGCAAAGAGAGATTTTTTAACGAAAGAAGATGTCCCTGCTGTAGAAATATCTTTACGTCAAACAGCAATCAAACAATCCCTTGGTACTGGGTAGGGTTTCCGAAAATGTGACTGCATATCGAAAATGTACCACAAATAGGTGTGCTTGTCGCAAAAAAACGATTGCTATGTAATTCAAAGTGTCGCCAATCTTTAGATTGCACTAATAAGTAAGCATAGTTTTATAATATGTTTGTTTAGCAAATTCATTTCCTTAATCGTTTGATTCTTTCTATTGCAGTTTTGTAACAGAAACTTGCTTCTTTGTTGCTAAATAAATAACATTATGTTAACTTGATTCTCGTTTGATTGTACTAACTTGCTTCTTAAACGTTAACTTGCTTCTTTACTGTTACTGTTCCAGCAAAAGATCTTATTTTGCACTTTAACTAGTGCCAAGTAGGTAATGTGCAGATTAACTAGGTAATGTGAGAAATCTTTGAGAAATGAAACAATTTTCTGCACTTTAACTGATCAGCCTAGTTGATGTGCACATTAACTAGGTAATGTGCACATTAACTGATTTCTGCACTTTAACTGTAACATATACAGTTAAATATTTTATACTGCTCTTTTTGCTGCGTGTTTTGGCCAGGCTACAGAAGAAGGTCCTTAGCATTGCTTCCACAGAGGTTGTTGGTGATTGTTTTTATGTGCATGAATACTTTGGGAAGTATTGATCTGTTCCCCAATTCTGAGTTTGCTATACTTCCATCTTTTCTTGCTTTTAGCTATACTGTGGAATTACGCTATATACTATTTCTTTCTCCTCTTTTTTATGTACTATTGCACATACTATGTGAAGTATCCCTAATTACGGTGAGTGTTCTTGCAATCACAGACACATTGTGTGATTTATAAAGTCACAGACACATTGTGTGATTCTTAAAGGTACAGCACATCTTAACATTATTCACACGATAAACGTGACAAGTAGCCATAATAGCAAAAGAGCCAAAATCCTATTTGTATATGTCAGCATGCCAGCTTTCCCACGAATACATACACATACGTACAGTATCCTCCACTAATATTGGCACCCTTGGTAAATATGAGCAAAGAAGGCTGTGAAAAATTGTATTTATTGTTTAACTTTAGATTTTTTTTTATAGCGGACCACGGGTAACCCGACCGGTTACCTCTGCTAATTCCTTCCCTCAACCACTCTGGAACCATTAAAATAAGCAGACATCCATTTCCCCCCTGTAACTGGATGACACACAGTTCTGGGAGTACAACAAAAACTGAATTTTAATGGGATATGATACAGCCAAGTTATACACAGACTCCTCCCCTGTGCCTGGCAGATAATTAAGTCAGGAACTGTACAAACTCAATTAACTGGGGGAGGTGTCACGGCAAGGGTACATAATTCATTGTTGCACTATAGAATATTGCCATTTAATGTAATTTGTGTAGTGCATAAATGAACTGGCTGTCTGGTAGAGGTGATATTGTCAATTTCAAAAGAGGTTACTTTGATTGTATGAGAGGGCAGAAGGTTTACAATCTAAATTCCTATTTGAAGCAGGGACCCCAACAGAGCTATTCTGTAAAGTGTGAAAAGTCACACATAAGTGGCCTGGAAGTCTGGCTTCAGTATAAACTAACCCTCTAATTTGCCATATGTATTGATTGCCTCTTAGATAAGGCGTCCTTCGATATGAGCAAGCCTTGTGTTCCAATATCCTACACAAAAGAGACATTAATACCTATCCACAGATTAATACTCAAGCCTCATTTTTATCATATTTAGAATGCGACAAGCATAATCTTCTAATCAAGCCTAAACATGATGTGTGGAACATGGGGACCACACAGATAGGGAGATCCCCAGCCTGATGACCTGAAAACAATAATCAGGCAAGTGAGTGGGCACATGTGGGCATGGTGCTCAGTGAAGGCATTCCGTCACACTTTTGTTAAAAAAAAATATACTAAAACAATCTCTTTTCATAGATATGAAAAATTGCAAACCCAACACAGGCTTTTTCCCAAAAAATTAAATACATCTTTGCTAAATATATGTGTGGCACAATTACAGTTGCAAGAAAAAGTATGTGAACCCTTTGGAATGATATGGATTTCTGCACAAATTGGTCATAAAATGTGATCTGATCATCATCTAAGTCACAACAATAGACAATCACAGTCTGCTTAAACTAATAACACACAAAGAATGAAATGTTGCCATGTTTTTATTGAACACACCATGTAAACATTCACAGTGCAGGTGGAAAAAGTATGTGAACCCTTGGATTTAATAACTGGTTGAACCTCCTTTGGCAGCAATAACTTCAACCAAACGTTTCCTGTAGTTGCAGATCAGACGTGCACAACGGTCAGGAGTAATTCTTGACCATTCCTCTTTACAGAACTGTTTCAGTTCAGCAATATTCTTGGGATGTCTGGTGTGAATCGCTTTCTTGAGGTCATGCCACAGCATCTCAATCGGGTTGAGGTCAGACTCTGACTGGGCCACTTCAGAAGGCGTATTTTCTTCTGTTTAAGCCATTCTGTTGTTGATTTACTTCTATGCTTTGGGTCATTGTCCTGTTGCAACACCCATCTTCTGTTGAGCTTCAGCTGGTAGACAGATGGCCTTAAGTTCTCCTGCAACATGTCTTGATAAACTTGGGAATTAATTTTTCCTTCGATGATAGCAATCCGTCCAGGCCCTGACGCAGCAAATCAGCCCCAAACCATGATGCCCCCACCACCATACTTCACAGTTGGGATGAGGTTTTGATGTTGGTGTGCTGTGCCTTTTTTTCGCCACACATAGTGTTGTGTGTTTCTTCCAAACAACTCAACTTTGGTTTCATCTGTTCACAGAATATTTTGCCAGTACTGCTGTGGAACATCCAGGTGCTCTTGTGCAAACTGTAAACGTGCAGCAATGTTTTGGTTGGACAGCAGTGGCTTCCTCTGTGGTATCCTCCCATGAAATCCATTCTTGTTTAGTGTTTTACATGTTGTAGGTTCGCTAACAGGGATGTTAGCATTTGCCAGTGACTTTTGTAAGTCTTTAGCTGACACTCTAGGATTCTTCTTTACCTCATTGAGCAGTCTGCGCTGTGCTCTTGCAGTCATCTTTACAGGACGGCCACTCCTAGGGAGAGTAGCAGCAGGGCTGCACTTTCTCCATTTATAGACAATTTGTCTTACCATGGAGTGATGAACAGCAAGGCTTTTGGAGATACTTTTATAACCCTTTCCAGCTTTATGCAAGTCAACAATTAATAATCGTAGGTCTTCTGAGAGCTCTTTTGTGCGAGGCATCATTCACATCAGGCAATGCTTCTTGTGAAAAGCAAACCCAGAAATGGTGTGTGTTTTTTATAGGGCAGGGCAGCTGTAACCAACACCTCCAATCTCATCTCATTGATCGGACTCCAGTTGGCTAACATCTAACTCCAATTAGCTCTTGGAGATGTCATTAGTCTAGGGGTTCACATACTTTTTCCACCTGCACTGTGAATGTTTACATGGTGTGTTCAATAAAAACATGGCAACATTTCATTATTTGTGTGTTATTAGTTTAAGCAGACTGTGATTGTCTATTGTTGTGACTTAGATGATGATCAGATCACATTTTATGACCAATTTGTGCAGAAATCCATATCATTCCAAAGGGTTCACATACTTTTTATTGCAACTGTATTGGCACCACTAAGAAATCATGTCAGAAAAAATATATGTGAAGTATATTCCCATTTAACATTTTGTTTAGTACATCCTGTTGACTAGGAACAGGAAATTGTTCAACCGTGACTTCCTGTTTCACAGGGGTATAAATATGAGGTAAACGTCCTTCGTCATCCATCACAATTGTTAAGACCAAAAAATATAGCTGTGATGTGCTGCAAAAGGTGGTTGAGCTTCACAAAGAGAAGAGTTGCCATAAGAAAATAGCAAATTTACCAAGGGTGCCAATATTAGTGGAGGACACTGTATATCATACATGCCAGTAAGAGACATAATACAAGCATAATGGATAGATAGATAGATAGACAGACAGACAGACAGATAGATGACATATACATTGTCAGATTCTGTTCTATAAAATATTTATTAGACTACCTCAAGGTCATCCCTAATAGGAATACCAGGAGATAGTAAATGTTAACTGCACTCTATAAATTTCCCAAGTCATTTCCAGTAAATATACAGATAGAACAGTTAAAGAAACACTGCCATCAATTTAATTAATGTATATTGAAATAAGGAAATCACTTGCCTACCTGTCCCACTCCACCTTCCTGACAACCACCTTTGGCAGTGCGTCTGACACGGTGCTCACTATTTTCCAATCATTTGTTCCTTTTTCATAATCACCAGACAGCTATTTGAGACAGTTGCAAAATAGTGAGTGTCATATCAGAATGACAAGTGCCAAAGGTGTGTAAAGATGGCTGTAAGAGAGAGGAAGTGGGAAATATAGGCATCTATTTGTTTTATTTTTTTATTTTACAAATTAAAATATACCTGAATTTAAAAAAAAAAAACACTTTAATGAGATGGTATATTGTGACATATTGATATATCATATATTTACATATATAACAGATATATATTGAAAACATTTGATGACAGTGTTTCTTTAATGCCAGAAATGTATTAGCTATCAATACTGGCTACAAGAGCCAATACTAGTAGTAGTATTAAATGAACACTTTATTGGGTGCAGTGGTCCTGTCATTTTAACCCTGCATTTTAGTAGAATCTGCAGTGTTTACATTGCAGGGTTAAATCCACCTCCAATATTTGTCTCCTATTCGAGGCATTTCCTCCTCCTGACCCAGTAAGACTCAGTCTGGGAATCAATGCACAAAGAAAAGAAATAAAGGAGCCAATTGTAACAATGGGGTAAAGACAGGGAACTCTGAAGATCATAAACCATAAATCTCCAAAATCATATCTATCTATGTGAAAACAAGCAATAGCTAAAACCTAACTCTTATTTCGCTTTATAAAATATGTGCAGTATGTGCACCTAAGAACAAATTAGTATGAATAGATGTGAATAAAATAAATGAAATATTTACAAGATAATTTCCACTGCTAACGGCAATACAGTGCTATAACCACATAGAAGATGGCATACACGGAGTGTAGTAAATAGGTATCAATCACTCTAAATATATATGCCTAGATTGTATAGTACTAAGTAAACTACTAGATTGTAACGTAAAGGCAGTAGAGAGTAGAGGGAAGGGAGAAAGTATAGGCAGCCCTACTCTGGATATAGAGTCAACTAATGTGCCTTCAAGGGCATCCCTTACCTAAAAATCTACTCTCTCACTGATAGCCCGCCTTGCCCAATCCATCAAAATATAATCAAGAGACTCAAGCGTATAGAAAAGTAACTTAAGTGGTTCGACTCTCCAAGGCAAATTGGCATTCGCTGGCCAAGAACACTGCCAGAGCTGTGACAAACAGGAAGAAAACAACACCAACAATCGAACACAAAGCAAAGCATACACTCAACATCCTCGGGCAGGTGGGAGGGAAAGAACTTGAGTGAGCTGCATTCTTTCTTTCCTCCCCTCTCTCCTTTTTATTCCCCCTAATTTAGCAACATTGTATCCCATATAGCTAAGTCCCTTACTTTGGGCATCAGTCATGCCTTCCCTACCTTTCAGTCCAGGGAAGTACCATCCATTACTTCTCAATGAGAAGCAATGGATTGGAGGAAAATGTGGAAGATGTCTTTTAAGATGGAGAGGGTGAGTAATCTTTTTTTAAAAGCAAAGGGCAAGACAGAAGGGAACCTATAATCCCAAAATAATAATACATAATATTTCTGGACTATTCTGGACTACCCTTTTAAGTGCTATATCTATTCAAACTGGAATATATGACAATAAGTGTTATCTGCACAGTGTCGCTATGGGTTTTGTATTTAGTATGCTACCGCTGTCCTCCTCAGCACTGAGAGGATTACACTATCCAATGTTCTGTTGCAGAGTGTGTGTGTATATGTGTGGTCTTCATTGCAGCTTTTGAAGTTGTAACACACTTCCTCGTTTTAGTATAAATGAATCATGTAGATTTGCACAAGACAAACTGGTGGCTGGCATTAAATATGCATGCATTTTTTTTCCATTCTGTAAACCATAGAGTAACACACTGCTTTAAAAATGTGAAACAATTTTGACACCTACAGATACTGGCAACACAAACTGATTTACACCTTACTGCGTTGAAGATAAAAAGACGAATTTGTTGCTGTATCTTGTTTATCTGGCATACATTGCATTTGAAAGAAATGCTTTAAATGTTAGCTTCAATATACTCTGTCATTAAAGGGTTACTCCAAATATCATGACATATTCAGTGATTTGAAGTGGTCATGCTGTCTGGAGCCTGTATGTGCAGTGTTTCGCTGTGAAATTCTGCAAATAGTGAATAGTGTAACTCCATCTCTGGCAGTGCCATAGGGACATAATCAGCCATCTGGAAAAATAGTTATGCAACTTTGCAGAAGCCCAAAGCACGTCAACCAGGAGGAGAGATAGCCTTGGAGCAAGCACGGTGGGGACCAAGGGAAGAGGGCAAACCATTACTAAACAGCTTGTCCCATTTCTGGGGAACCAGGCCAGGATGCTCCTGGCATCATAGGAGAAATAAGGGGAAGGAAACAGCATCTTGCACTTTTCAGGTATGTTGTCAAACCATTTGCAAACAGCTTAACTATTTAACCTAGGAGGGCGCCTAGGAACTCCTGAAGTGGTTACGGCGCTGAGAATGTTCGTTTAATGGTATCAAATTTAGTCTCTTTTATTTTTTACAGTTAATATTGACTAAACAGTTAATAGTATAAAATTCCACATTTAAACATACGTTCCAACATTTCGAAATGACGAAGATGGCATTTTAATTTTATGGGTGTGAGTTGTGAAGCTCTGTTATACACTCAAACATGCCAATAATACAGAACATCTAGAAAATACGGAAATTAAGATAGAAAAGAGAAACAGAGAGATATTCAAAATAGGGATTGCATATAAATAATGGCACAAGGAAGCCATTTTCTTAATTAATGCTTCTTGTCACTCTACTTCCCCTTTTAATACATTAGAAAAAGTAAACTGACCTTAAGTAATCTTTGGCATTGGGTGGAGCTAAGCAAAGTACCATTTGCATTACCAAGGTATACTGCAGATATCATGGTCAGTGAAAAACAAAATGATGGCTCCCTGATATTGAGATCCAGTGCCAAAAATTTTATAAAATAAAACATGATTAAAGGCAAGTGGTATGGTGTGAGCATATTCATTAAGACACAAAGAGTATGTGAAAGAGAAAAAAGAAAAGAAAAAAGTGACTGTATCTCTGAGATGCAATACGAGTGAATTTGGCAACAGAACATAAACATCAATCTATCACTACAGCTTACTGTAGAAGTTGAGGTAACAGTAGGCTATCAATACAAACCCTTAGGTTTTTGTAAACTGTAAGTGGTTTAACGAAAACTTGAGGATTTCTGGGCACACTAATTGAACTATCAAAACATAACTCAGAACTGACATGTAAATTATTGAAGAGTCACTTACCCTGCACTTGCCGGAGTGGTCCACTCTAATCTGTGCTTCATCTGAGGAGTCAATATAACACTAAGAAAGGTTAACAATGGAGCAGCTCCTTCCTGAAAATAATGTTCAGGAAACCAAATATATTAAAACAGGCACATACTACTTTACATTAAAAGCTTACAGTTCTTCAGTACTAGCAGTTTATGCCATTTTGGCCAATTTAAGTGGTTAGTATGGCATGTTTTTCATGTTTGGCACTGAGTGTGTACTTTGTTAAAAGTGAGTTACTGCTAAACAGGACAAGACTCCTACAAACCCCTACCTAGGATGGGCTCATGAGATAAGTAGTTTATCCTCGAATAACAGTTTCACTCACTGCTTGGAACCACATGGGTCATCTGTGGGTTGGCTTTCATTTTACTGGGGCCTGGCAGCTAAAATGGCCAGACGTGCTTGCTAACAGCTCTGGTGCTTTCAAACACAAATTCATCTTGTACTGTCTCACCTGCATTGATTGCTGCCTTGCCTGAACAAATTCTGACCCACTACTGTGAGGGGAACTCAGAGATACCCGATTCATGTTGCTGTGCCAAGCGACCACGCTATCTGACCATGCAGCCTATCTTTCTACAAGGTCTGGTATCTTGGGGAGACGTCTGCTCTCCTGACCAGGGACATGCTCAGTCCAGAGCTTCTACTAAGGCCCCTGCAGCATTGGAGTCACTGGTGGGGGTTATTCCGGTCCTCGCTGGAGTCACTTATCACACTCCCACGACGGAACCCCCTGCAACCACAGGGCATCTTTACAATGGCCAACACAAGCAACTCATCACAACTCCGTGAGAGCATTGCAAGTCCTGCGGCCTACACCAGTGACTGATCTAACTTCACTGCTAAGCTGGCTGCACATTTCACTGACTTCTGGCAAAAGCTGGAACAATGCCTGCAGAAGCCAGTAAACCAGGAGTGAAGCAAGAACTCACCCAAAGGTTACTGGGGGGTGCACAACATGGCTGCCACTGCCAGCGGAGTACAAGCCAACCTCATGGTCATGCCCTACCTGCTCCACCCCAGTCCAACGTTGATACTGACATTCCCCTTTCTTCATTTGGGCCAGGGGTCCATTTTGATTCTAATCCAACCCAACATCCATAAACCCGGAGGTGCGTTTGAGATCCGGAGCTCCTGAGGGCCCATAGTCCTACCACGAGTAGCAGGGGGCCCATAAATATAGAGAAGGGGCTTCCATTCAAACCCGGGCTCAAAGACCTGTGCAGTTGAAGCTCTACAGCCATGGTCCTACTCAGCACCTGGTTAACCAGCATTCCTCATTGAGTCATAAAGGGGTAGAGGGATATCTGACATCTAGTACGGAGATTAACTTTCCCTTCTGGCCCACATGTGGTGTTAGCTGAGAGACTGATGATGATGTCATATGCCATTGATTTTAAACATTGCAAGATGTGGTTCCTTTCTATTTTACTTTGCGTTTATTTTATTAGTGACCAGCAGTATATATCTTTATGTAGTTTACCTAGTATGTTGCGCCATTATTCAGAGCTATCTTCTTTTGTCTAATGTGCTTTACTAGAATACTAGCATATATAGCAGGTTTTTGTATTATTTGTTGGTTTTAAGCCTCCACATACTTCACGTTTGACCAATCTTCATTTTCCCTAAAATGCATATTTCCATGACTGGATAGCCATACCTGCCGTATAACATTGTTTAGCCTGCAGTTTGGACATGTGCATGTAGCCTAGCATATTTTATTTTATCTTATATAAAAATGAGACAGTCAATTCAGGAGTATGTACACCGAATGCATTATTGACATGAATCCTTGCTCTAACTAAGATTTGATATGTCTCAATAAAACAAAGGGCGTCTTTCATGGCCTCTTGGTATAATGTATGGAACAAAGCCAGTTCACCAGTTTCTCTCCCAATCAATGATTTAGGAGTACATGTCTGTGAGGACGGGATCCTATTTTACACCATGCCTTGGGCCCAAAGGCATCTTAATCTCTGCTGTCCTACTAAATTTAGCATTTTGTTTTGCGAATTCTTGCCTTTAAACTTTTAATTCACTCGATTCCAATTTGCATTTTTCCTTTCATCAGCAGATTTTATGCATTTTATTGCAAGTTTAACATCACATTAAACTGTTTCCTTTTTGATCTATAAACAGATTGTTGATGAGGGATCTGTTTAACCCCTTAAGGACACAAATTCTGGAATAAAAGGGAATTGTGACGGAATATTTCCGTCATGTGTCCTTAAGGGGTTAAAACACGCTACAACAATAGAATGTACCCATAAAAATTTACTAATGGAAATTAACAAGATTTATCATTTTTAATGCATTTTATTCTGAAACACTTTCATTCTGGGAAAATCTGCTGAGAAATGGAAGTTATTACAGGCCGAACAGAGGCTCGAGGGAAGGGAGAGAAGAAATGGACAGTCAGCACAGAAACACAATGGTTTATGTTACTCAGCTGTTCATATAAGCCACTGGATTTCTGTGTGCACATAACTAATGAGCTAATGAAACCTGCCTGCAAAATCAAATTATTCCATCTGATTAATTTTTCATGGTTTTAAAGTTGATGCTACACAGGAATACAGATTGTTCATACCAAACCACTCAAAAATATCACTTAAACTGCTCTTTTTTTGGTTCAGAATAATTTTACTTCTTGTATTCTATTAAACATTGATGAAACATTAGCCGGGACCCCACACAATCACATTCCTGAGCACCTTTACTGCATATATATTCCTCTTCCAGTGTTTAACTGCAAATAGTTTAAGGTTGATAGGCTGTAGTAATGGTTCTCAGAATTTTGTGTCCTAGAGAGATGACTTGCTACTGGAGGTCAACTAAACTCCACTTTTAAAAGAATAGTTTAACAACATGCTGTTTAACAGCATAGTAAAACACATTGAAACGCCTCAGCTTTTTATGGTGAAATCACCTTCACATGAACACAAAAAACAAAGATATTGGGTGCATGTAGGACTCAGAAATAAACAGAGGGTACATGGAATGGGTCCCCCATGAAGAAATAAGTGAAATAACCAAAGGACGGACCTGCACATTTGTCCGTATTCAAACAACTGGACAAATGAGATGTCCAAGACCAGTAGTTGCTTGTCTACACTTAGGGGAGCCCCCACCAGGCAATTGTCATAATAAAAAAAAATCTATTGCCAGTGGTCAAAGAGTAAACTGCTGACATGATTTCCCAGGTGGTAAAGGGTTAACTTCCAAAGTTCAATGTAAATGGTAAACATATACCACACTGCAGTGTTACAATTCCCCCTCCCTTTCTTTTACCATAGCACAATCTGACTCACTGATCAAGAATAATAACTAAGTAAGCAGATGAGAACAGCTGGGCATGTGCACACCTTAGGTCATTTGCAAAGGCTGCCCAATCTGAAGGCACTTTAGACATGCTTACCCTGCTCCTAGAGATGATTACTAAAGTTCCAGAGTTAATCTCTAGCAGGATGTCGGAGATGGATATCCTGTGGATAATAGTTCAAATAGTTTACAATTTCATTTTGAATTATTGTTTAATAGTAGCCTAGACATAGTGAACTAAGCTTTTAAAGTTGTTAATGTTGTGAATTCAGTTGATGTTGGTGAGTTGTTTTTTCACATGAGATCCTGCCATATACCATATATGTCATTTTATATATTATCTATATTAATATTTTGTTAAGACATTGTTGAAACCTATATATAGCAAGTGGGTCCCCACGCCTACTCATGAATGGATCAAGGGTACCAATTTCCATGGTCCATGATGAAATGGATATGGCCAGTCCCAGCTAACCATGTATCTTATTACCTTCCACTCCACATCAATTGTGGAATAATGGCTATAAGCATAAGGAAGTATCTTCTGTCAGGAATACCACTACTACAAATTAACTTGATTATAGGGGCTGAAAGGGTTAAACAATCACTTTTTGCACTAGACCCAAAGCAATCCCTCTTAACACCACTCACACTTAGCTCAAGTGTAGTGATGTCGCGAACCGTTCGCGAACTTCACTTCAGCTGACACATCCCGGCCAATCTCCATCAGACCCTCCCTCCCAGACCCTCCCACCTCCTGGACAGCATCCATGTTGAAGGCAGCTTCAACATGGATGCTGTCCAGGAGGTGGGAGGGTCTGGGAGGGAGGGTCTGCTGCTGATTGGCCGGGATGTGTCAGCTGACTGGAGCTCGCCGCGAACGGTTCGTGGCGAACCGTGGCGAGCCGTTCGCGGGAAGTTCGCGAACGGTTCGCGACATCACTACTCAAGTCTTTAAAGCTGCCACATCAAGGTAATTTATAAATGGGGCACCTTAGGTTACCCACTAAAACAGTTTTAAAAGTCCCCAAACGTACTCCCAGGTCTCTACGAGAGGGTGATCATCACCGAAGCTAATGGTGAACAAAACTAAAAAACATAGCGTCAGTCTAAGCCCTGGATCCCAAAATATTGGAAATTTCTGTGCCAGCATGTTAGGCCCAAATTTATCAAATGGCGCTGGCGGAGGCCTCTACCTCAGCTTCCTGGGATGAGGAAAGCCTGCCTAAACAGATACTGATCCTTCTACTAAGGAAGATATTAAGGCTCTAGTTCATGAACTTAGAGCAATGTTTTAGACGGACATGGCGGTGGTGAAGGAAGAGAGGTGATTGCACCTCTCTCAATGCAGTTGCCATTTTCGACGCTGGATGCTTCGGCTCTGATTTCTTTTTTCACGCAATGCATAAATGTTGGTGTCACTATGCCCTATGCCAATGATGCGAATTTGTGTAATTTCCACTGTCCCTTTTCGTTTTGGGGATGTGGATTTAAAGCGAAAGCACTCCCACTATAAATAGAGAAATTTGTGCTTTAGTCAGTGTCCTGGCTTTTTCTTGACTATCCTAAATCTGCCACGTTACGCTCAGCCATTCTAGGTCCTTGACATTTTACACCTAGGGCAACTGCTCTTGAAGCCTCCACACGCTATGCCACAGGCTATACAGATGATTATTAGGTGCTCCACCTAGTAACAATACTGTCACATGGCAGGTACTCCAAAAGTAAAGAGGTTGCATAGATAAATAACTCACACAGATATATATATATATATAAATTGGAAAATCTGCTAATGATTTCAGAGCTTCAGTGCCGAGCTTTGCTGCAACTCATGGCTCTAATAAACATAACACTAAGAAGAACTAAAACAGTTTCTACATTTTCATGCTTCAAATGGTGAGTTGTGTTAATGACTTAGGCCTCAATTTTATGCTGTTGGATAAGCTTTTCAAACGACTTAATATTTTTGGAGAAATATTTTAAATTATTTAATATTATGAAATATATTTTAAATAAGTTATGAAAATATTTTAAATATTTGCAGGGTGGGTTATATTTGCAAGGCAGGTAATATTTTTATATATTTAAAAATATAATATATTTTTTAATATTTTAATATTTTAAAAAAGTGTTAAAAAAGTTTAGCCAAAAATATAAAATCATTCCAAAAAACGCCAACTATCTTCCAACTTTAGTTAAAATGAGTCCTTCGATATCAAGGGTTTGTAATACCTGTGGATGACTAATTGGATTGAGACATACATACTTATGATATTTAGGAAATGTAATTTATTGTCCCCTTGGCAAAGGTTAAGATGAATTTGGATATAAACTAAAATAGGAATTAATGGCACAAGATTGGGAATTTTATTTGAAGGATTCAGAAAGCAAAAACAGATGTTTTATTCTTATAATTAGAACCTTATGCACATTATACTCACAGTATTAGGTGAAAAACAATGCTAATGTAGATGCATAGTTACTTTCAAGGGAAAGGTTTTTCTCTTGGTGATACCGCTGAAGTCAGAAAATGTTACCATAAAACTGAGCCTAAATTATGATATCATTGTTAATCTTGCAATGTCAAGTTCAATATGCTAATAACAAAACAAAAAAAGTGCTTTTAAGGGGAATTCAATTACACCACAGACTGAAGGGTGTAGGTAATTGACAGTGAAGTTCATTGATGATTCTTGTGAGTGACAAGTACCGGTATGTAATTGTTAGGAAATCCATTTTTGTTGTTAGTCTCATTAATGTGCCAATAAATCTATGTGTGTTTAACAGAAAGTCTATATAGGGATTTTTTTCTTTCACCAAATTGATAATGTTTAAAGGGTTTCTATAAAGCATTGGAGCAATGCTATTGTCGTTGCATCGAAATCGGTTGAAAAAAGGCAGCAATCAATGTGACCAACATACTGAATATGAAAAAAATTATTTTGGCTTTCGGGTCCCTTCTTGTACAATTTAAAAATAAATCCTGCATGCCCAGCCCATATTAGTATAAGGGAGGTTATGCCCCTACCTACCGTGCTGTGAGTCAGGGCATATCTACTCAATGGCGAAAACCAAGTGGCTGCTTGCAGTTATAAGAAGACAAGCGAATAAGCACCCATTGTGGCCCAGTCACTAATCCAATAGGGGACATGGTACAGCTTCATTAGGTGCCCATGATGGGGCACCTAATAAAATAATTAACTGGGGCAAGCATAGTGTCCCCCTCCCCATGCTCCCACCTGTGCCCCATGAGTTTGGGGCAAATAAACCATTGGAAGCTGTGGGGGCTAATAATACAAATGATCCGCCTCCTGTGATAAGTAGTCCCCATGCCCCTAGTTGCCCACCCATAAACAATACTATACCTCACCATAATAATAGTGAGAGGGGACAATAAACGACATATCTGTCAAACAAGGGCAAATGAAAAGTCGCGTTAAACTATTAATCTAAAAAATGGTCCCAATTGCAAAAAACAAAACAAAAAATAAACCCAGACAAAAAATATCTATCTTCAACCTGTAAGGGCTATACACAGACTGAGTTTGCGGGGTGGGTTAAGCCTTATAATGGCTTTCGCATACCGTTCAATTTGAGTCAGAGTGCTCTGGTTAGTTTGTTAAAGCCAACCAATTAGAGTTTTCTGACAGGTAAATCTTGAGAGTGACAGAGCACTGAACGATATTCTGAAACAAAAATAATGGATACATTTCATCCTAAAAGAAATGAACAAATGGAAGAAATTCGGCTCGGGCAAATCTAATTTTTTTTTTCTCATCTGAATGTATTTGGAGACTAAAATTTCAGCGGGGCCCAAGTCTATTAACTAAAGCTCACCACTGTCTTAAGATCTGCATGTGACAATCTGTCAGAAATTCAAAGAGTGTATGTCAAATTTTTGATCAAAGTAGTCAATCTTAAAACCTAATTCACTTGGCAAATTATTTTTTAATTTGGATATTTTGCTCCAGAATTTGAAATTCACTTAGAATTTCTGATATTTTCCACTTAAGAGCATAACCTTGTTAACCTAAAAAAAAAATGCATATCTTTTTATTTATGTTGATCAAATAACAGACCAGTAATTTATTGCATTATTAAAATCTAAAGCAGAAGAAAAAGTTTGTCAGATAGGATTCATGACTGCAAGTTGAGATTTGATATTAGAGATTGGGAAATCTTCAATTCTGAATGCTAGCAGCGTTTGTGTTTACATATCTGAAACGAAGTCAAACTAAGTGCTGTATTGTTTATTTTGTCAGTTGTGTAAATGTTCTATGATGGAAATTTAGCATGGTAGTGGAAAAAAGACTTGTTTTTCCAAAATTCAAGCAAGCACAGAAAAAGTAAAATTAAAAGTAACAGTCAACTCAATTCTGATAGAAAAATCATTTAAAAAAAAAAAAAAAAGGTTTTTGATTATTTTCTCTTTATAAGGATGTATATGGTGTTACTGTAGATGACACTATAAGGACACAAACTATACCCAGACATTGAAAATTCTTTGCCACAGCTATTCATGGTTTGGCAAGAATTCTGCCTGTTGGGTTTAATTGCTTTAATTGCTAAAATTGGTGCATTTATTAACTTCAAATATGTTGCCCCTTAAATTATGGGAAACATATTTAAAGTTAATAAATGCACCAATTTTATATTTGTATTAAAGCAATGATTTCAGGAGAAATCTGGACATTAGTTCTTCTAGAAACCCTGCAGAGATTCCCTGTGTCGAGACTCAAAATCAGATGCCCGTGTAATGGATCCACAATAGCTAAAACAAGCGCATTGACTTCATTACACACATGGATTGTTTACTTAACAACACTGCCTCTCCTACTGTAACTGAGAATTCATTGATACTGGGAACAGTCTAATAAAGGTGTTTGCAAAATGTATTTTGTTACATATTACATTACAATTGAAATGTGGGTCACTGAGCTAATTAACAATTCAAGAACAGTTATTGGTATGTATTTAATTTTTCAAAAACAGTTCAAAACTACCGGCACGCAATAAAAAAAAAAATCAATTATAAAATGGTTTACTTATCCACCATAAAAGGTATGTACTGTGTTTTTGATGCCAGATAAATATTTTTCATGAATTAAACACAGAGAGAGAGGTTACCTATGAAAAGATAAAAAAAATAATCAATCTAAAATACAAACATAAAGAATATTAAGAGGCACAAATACCATCACAGTGAAAATTTGAAGACTGGGAATTTAAACATCTTACACAGTCAACCTCTAAAAACTAAACAGCAGTAATGCTCTCAGATAGGCTGTCTCTAAGACATGTCATTTTCATTGACCCTATTAGTTCTCATAGAATAAAGAACAGAATATTGTCCAAAGATATACTACATTTGCACTAGACAGGAAATTGTAATGAGATGAGAAAACTGATAGTGGCCAGAATATCACAGTTGAAAATATATATTTTTTTCCCTGTGTTGGTTCTTGACTCCTATAAACCTTTCGGCTTTGTAAAATTCTTTTGATTTTTAAAAAACAGTAAAAAATAAAATAAAAAAAATAAACGTGATTATTTTTGGTTTATGATTCTCTAAGGCATGCTGTAAAATATTTAACCCCTTTACAAGTTGCTGAATTCTAACTAATCAATATAACAGCCAAGTCATATATTAATGATAACAGTGCAGAAACATTTTTGCTTTGGTATAAATGTAAGTCTCTGATAAACTAAACAACACATACACAGAGAACATACAGAAAATAACTTACCTAATATTTGATAGAACTGGTATAGCCATGGGAGCCAACTTTGACCTTGAACAAATGTTTACATTGCTATAAGAAGAATATATATCATGAGCAGAGGTGGTTGTACATTGTGGCATTTATATTATGCTTTCGTTTTGACTAGGTTAAGGAGACAAAAGAGTAAAGCAGTTTTCATATAAAGAAATGGCTTCCTTTTATCCTTCATATCAATACTAACTATAATCTCCACATTGTTAGGATTCATCAATTTTATTATGTGATAACCTTGCAAAATTATTAAGATTGGATGTATGTTTCAATTTCTTATAATGGTTAGCGGTGAGGGAGATATGACATTTACATTTACTTAAATAAAATCCTCAAACTTGCATATAATGTGCAAATAATCACTATTGAAGATGGTTTGATATGTAGTTATATACCAATTAGAAATATGATGTAATATATAATGTAAAAATGCTGGAGTCATTGCTATTGCCCTGAAATAGTGTATGTGTTCTACTTGTGAACAAACCTTCATGGCCTTTTCTCTTGTATCTTTTTACAAATCATTCTTCATGCCAGAAAACACTTTATAACTAGCCGTCAAATAATGTTCCTAACATATAATCCTTTTTATCAATGCTATTTTCAAATTTTTGTATGCATACGAACATGTATTCTGTACTTTTTGTTAGCACTAAATAAAACATTATAAATACATTTTTTTTAAAAGAGCTACAAATTAAATTGAATTAATTTTCATTTCAAGTCCATTCATAGTAAAACTATTAACATGTTATATGTATTACAATTATATCTGAGACCAATTCACTGCATGTGTATGTCAGGAAAAGTATCTATTGTATATCCCATATTTAATGAGCACATTTTCAATGTAGTTACATACATACATACCTGATCTTTGACAGGCAATGATGACTTTGTTTAGGAATCTAGATATGACAAGCACGTGGATATACATTATTTAACATTGCTTAGCAATTTCTGGGTGTTACCTGTTTGACAGTCTTCGGGGCTGACAACAAACAGGTTTTACAGATATATCTGCCTCAGCAAAAGTTGATCTGCCAAAGGGTAAGATCTATTTTGTACTGATAGAAGGACACTCGTAAAATCTCTGTTGTGTTTCTCAAGAACTAAACGATGGGAGTTCCTAACTTATATATTTCATACAGATCTATTAAATAGTTAATCCAACAGAAAAAAAAGAAGAAAGACTAAACTTATCTCGTGCCAAAGTCAAGTTCTTCCTGCAGCCCTATCATCATTCAGTGACATCACTCAGCCCTCACAGAAGGGGGAGGAGAGTCCCAGAGATCGGGTTGAGGAGAGGACATGGGTGGCATGAAGGAGCTATGCGTAGTGACAATAGATGCCCAATATACACAGAATTAACAATTAATTGTCATCCCAAAACTTTGTTTTGATATAATAATCCTATAATAATTCATCTAGTTTTGGATGAAGGGATCTCTCTTGGGTAAGAAGGTACTGTGGAGGTGTAAATTGGTGAAGGGAGACTAAAGTGGCAGGTCAGTGTTGAGATATGAATATTAGGGAGAAGTGAATATTCAACAAGGGATGTGGGAATGTAAAAGGGATGGGATACTTGATAGAGAGACACTGGCAAACTGATCACACAAACACCCACCTCAAAATAAGAGTATGATGAAGAGGGTGCATCTTTCCAGAATCATACATGACTTTCCATTAGAATCATTAATAATGTCCTGTCTCCATCCCGTGAATGTGTTAAGTATACTATCCAAAGACAAGTAGCTCCCTAAATTATACCTAAAGAACTGTGGCGATAATTCACATTTTTTTAAAAATGGCCATGAGCTAGATGAGAAAACAGAGGTGCTTTCGCTCTGACAACGGAATCATTTTAGTTTTGTCTTTTTTTTGTTTTATTGTTTTTTCATATAAGCAATATATAGTACATTTGTATAGTGGAAAGATTATAATAACAACAAAGAAAAAAAATGAAAATAAAATAAATAAATAATAATAAAAAAAAACAACTTGTTACACCAGACCAAGCACAGAATATTTTGGTTAGGAAATTTGTGTGGTTTGCAACTGACATCTACATTGGTAGATTATATATATGTTATGTGAGGTAACATAGATCGAGTGGACCATATTTTATAAACTTTGGCTTTTTGGGATGTAGTGAGAGCAGACATCAGCTCATATGTACAATTCCTGTCCAGTTTGTTAATCAGATCTGAATATGAGGCATTTTTGGCCCATTGGTAGCCAGGATTCTTTAGGAAAATAAGCCAAGTGGGAAGTTCTTACACAGGAGTACTTTTGAGAAAGGCAGATGGGTATTGCAAACAATGAGCTTGTGTCCATGATGGGCAGAGAGCAGGACACTCCCACAATATATGATAGACTGTCCCAAAACTAGTGCTAAATATCCACCATAGTGGGTTGGCTGAGTATATATATATATATATATATATATATATATTGGAAGGCATGGCCTGAAGTTGTGGGAGGGGCTATAGACCTATAAAAGGGACTCCCCCCTCTCCCTACTTACCTTTGTTGGTCAGACGAATAGACTGTTCAAGGTCAGCATTTGCATGAGATCCACTTCCAGGTCATACAAGACGCCATTTTGGTTTCACCTTTGCTCCATGCGGTCTCTTGCTCCATGAGGTCTCTTACTCCAAGCTGTGTCCAGGAATCCTGCAGCAGGGATTTCCGTTAATCCAGTGGCTTTCTCTCCGGTCAGCATCGCATTTGGTGTCTCAGGGACTCTCAAACCGTAAGTTGACCCAACTGTCGCGCCAGGATTAGTTCCCACGGCGTTCAACACAGCACGGGTCCTCACTTTACGGTTTCCTTTCGTTTTGCACGGTTATTTCGTTACCTTATACTCACCTAGCTGTTTATGTAAAATCTGTTGGTTAAAATCTGTTTTGGTTAAAAATCTGTTGGGTTAAAACTACAAACGACATACAATTTTTCGCCTACACACTGACCCCTATCGGTCATTCAATGTAGTACAGGCTTCTCAGATATTATTGCATTTCATGTACAAACCACTGCATTTGGGCCTACACACTGACCCCTATCGGTCATCGGTGTACTACAGGTTTCTTAGACGTTTTTGCATTTCATGTACAAACCACTGCATTTTCACTGCATTTTCACCAAGACACTGACCCCTAACGGTCATTCTGTGTACTACAGGCATCTCAGACATTATTGCATTTCATGTACGAACCACTGCATTTGTGCCTACACACTGACCCCTATCGGTCATCGGTGTACTACAGGTTTCTTAGACGTTTTTGCATTTCATGTACAAACCACTGTATTTTCACCAAGACACTGACCCCTACCAGTCATTTGGTGTAACTACAGGCATCTCAGACACTATTGCATTTCATGTACAAACCAACGAACCACTGCATTTGCGCCTACACACTGACCCCTACCGGTCATTCGGTGTACTACAGGCTTCTTAGACATTATTGCATTTCATGTACAAACCAACGAACCACTGCATTTTCATTTAGACACTGACCCCTACCGGTCATTCGGTGTACTACAGGCATCTCAGACAATATTGCATTTCATCTACAAACCAACGAACCACTGCATTTGCGCCTACACACTGACCCCTATCGGTCATTCAGTGTACTACAGGCTTCTTAGACGTTTTTGCATTTCATGTACAAACCAATTAACCACTGCATTTTAACCTACACACTGACCCCTACCAGTCATTCGGTGTACTATAGTCTTCTTAGAAGTTTTTGCATTTCATGTACAAACCACTGCATTTTCACTGCATTTTCACCAAGACACTGACCCCTACCAGTCATTTGGTGTAACTACAGGCATCTCAGACATTATTGCATTTCATGTACAAACCAACGAACCACTGCATTTGCGCCTACACACTGACCCCTACCGGTCATTCGGTGTACTACAGGCTTCTCAGACATTATTGCATTTCATGTACAAACCAACGAACCACGGCATTTTCGCCTACATGCTGACCCTTACGGTCATTCAGTGTACTACAGGCTTCTCAGACTTTATTTCACTTCATAAGCAAACAAACTAACTACAGCATTTTCACTTTTATACTGACTCCTATCTGTCAAACGGTATACTACAGGCTTTTCAGACATATGGTTATTCCCCTCATAACATTCCCACTATAATTATAATTACACAATAACACTTCCTTATAAATCATGCTTACTATGATATAATCATTCCTGCATACCTGCCTTCATAGGCATTTATTTACATTTACTGACAATACGCATACATTTACCCAAGAATGCACATACTATTTAAAGCACTATGCAGTTTTCCAGAGTCTAATACGGAATATTTGCAAGCTTAAAATATAAGTCCTTCCAATTATGTATTTTCACTTATTAGGTTATTCAGCTGCCAGTCACGGTTCACTACACTCATGTTTCGGGGTAAAGTTGTGTTCCATATCACACATGATATAACACTCCCGACAAGTTAATTTCCTTCAAACAGGGGCATTACAAGCATACAATAAACATTGGGACAGAGCACTTTGCTCTATTAAACTTGCATAACACACATATGGATATACGCTTTTAAATGTCTATATTCGATTTTCATACATTGTTTTACCCGTCTGGGATACAGGTATTAATAACCTTTACGACCAGTAAGGGTATCTAATCATACTACCAGGTACATACACCTGCTCATGTGGTATATACATACATTTTCTGTTTCCCCCTGGGTATATCCTTAGCGTACTGGCAATTAGGGACTATAGGTTTCCAATAGATATTTTCCTTTCTTGGCATCTACGCCTGTCGTATAGTGGTCCCGCGAGGCCAACACCCCGCCTCAACGCTCGGAGGCAAACACCCATCGGGCCACTCGTGAGCTAGCCGCCTCGCATGGTATATAGAGAGGGCCTCACCTGTCACTCCCTTCCCCTTTTTCTGGTTACAGTCACCGAGAGGCCAACATCCTGCCACTACGTTTGGTGGCCACAAAAATCCCCTCGCGCCATTGCATAGATAGAGCCTCTCAAGCCACTTGGCAACTAGCAGAGCCTCACCTGTCACCAAACAAAGGATTAATTGTTTCGCCTTACGGCTTTAGCTAGCAAGCCAGTACTAGCACACTGTGGGTTCATATAATAATGGCTATCTTCATGATTTTTAGTATGTATCAAGCACGTGGTAAGGATTTCTCTCTACCTAACACTCCAGCTAGAGTCAACACACTTTCACTTGGAGATGTTGCTAGTCCCACAGGACAATTTTGTCCCAACACAGCGGACGATAACGTTTCAGGCTCCAGGCTCTAGCACCTCTGGTAGGACGTAGCGAACTACCAGAGACAAATTGGGTCATCTCATTCTCTTTGGCAAATCCCAGATTTGCAACAATTTCCATGTTGGCACATGTAGTTTCAGTGCATGCAGACTGTTGCAGATATGTTCCCAATATGTCAGGGCACATGCAAAAACCATGTGTCCCAATAAATGTACCCTGAACCTTACTTCTCGTCTGTAAACATTATGCATTTCCAGTACTTTCTAACTTATCACCCTTCCAGACATTTAGTTTATTTCCTAATCTCCGATTTTAAAGGCCTTCTGTTCAGGTATTGCCATATACTTTTGGGGGAATCTAGAATGCCCTAACTTGCAGTCATCACAGCAGCATCCAACAGCTGGCATTACACTCATGGCCAAGAAATGGCAGAAAGATTTCTACCTGGGCCTCTCCGATCTACACCATTTACAGTGTGGCGCAATCCCATTGGGATTGTCACAGGGAATCTTCCCTCACACTGTAACTGATCATAGATTTATCTGCACCTCACGCCTCGGCTACCCCATAATCTCAACTCCCTCATACCCTCCGAGGAGTTTTCATTACAGTATGCCACCATTGTTCATACCATGACAACTATCACTCAAGCAGGGAGGGGAA